GCGTTTTATAATCTTTAAAACGTCATATCTCCGTTAATAATAAGTTTTGAAACATCAGACACCAAAAGGTATGGCCTTTGAATCGTGAGGAATCATCATGCCAAATTTAAACATGATCCTTTGAGTAGTTTTTTTGCTACGGGGTGATAAAAGTTAAAAAGCAGCGAAAATCGGCAATTCCTAATATTTTCTGTAATGTATACCGTCGGCCGACGGTTATCGGGTTATCGCCCCGCGTGTGTGTGGTTGCTGCAGAGTCGTTTGAAGGCGTTTTCCGGTCTTACTCTGGGAGGTTTTATTTGGTTGTTCTCCTTATATTTATATTTTTAGCTTGGCGGGGAGATCTACCGATCTCCGTGATCTCGTTTGCGGGTTTCAAAATCAATTTGACTTACCAAAAGTAGATGTATGTTCATTTAGCAAACGACATCCTTCAACATTACTTGAATGGGCTGCAATATAAAACTGCATCTGTCAAATGATATCACAGACTGTAATGCTCACAGATGGGACAGCTAACAGATTTTGAAGTGGGCAGTCATAAGAAATTGAGCCCTTTATGATGTTACATGCTTCGTGCAGATCGGTTTTGCCTGTAATTAGAAATAAAATCCTAAATAAGTAAGTCCCATTTTGATTTAAAAGCATCCAGTTTCGGCTGTAATTTGAGGCCAAGTAAGAGAATGCCCTTGAAAAATACCTGCAGCATCTGCTCCATTGTGAGAAAAGTGCATGATAAGTATTGATGGCGAAATTACCAGACTAAGATCTCGTTTGCGGTGTATGGAAAACTTGACTTTCTGAAGATCATTTGGACGTATTTCTGCCAAATGGCACTATGAGGATTATGACATGAGCCCTGGTATGCATAAATTCTGATGGGTCTCAAGGTCATGTCTTAATGCACATTCTTCTGTTTGACAGAAGTACGTCCATTTTTGTCAAGGAGAAGAAGCCAATGTCCGTAGGGCGAGACTAATTACTAATTGGAGAAGGCTATGAATTTTCTGCACCTCTGGAGTCTATGCCGAATAAGTTTACCCACTTATAAACTGCAACAGTAGATCGTCTAATGTACCTTTTACTTTCAAAGTAAATGGAAAAATGAATGGTTCTTCTACCGCAGTCTGAGAGTGCGTAAACTTATTTGGCATGGGCTCCAATTTGTATCTGATGATCAAGACCTTTATGTTCATTTTTATAAAGAACCCATACACTTGCTCAGTCCTTACTTGATCATTTCATCAGTTAAGGCAATGTTTTAAAGAGCTCTACGTACAAGCCAGGAGCAAGCTGCTCGATGAAAGCTCGTAACAGCATGATAAGACATTGAAATGTACTATGTACTATACTATCTACTTGAGATAGGGCTATGTCTCCTCTTCTCTTGTCGGCAAACATTCATTAATGAAGTCGCATAAAGGCATAAGTGCGATGTAAAACATTCTAATTGGGAATCAATCATACTTACTGCGATGGCAAGTCTAGAACTTCGAGACTAGCAACTGTTAGCGATGTTAACATTCGTTTTAGTGCCACAATTCGAAAATCAAAAGAGCTTGATAAATAAACAAAACACTGAGCAAACGGTGGCACGAGCACTAGAAGCACTAGCAAATTGATGTGTTACAATTTTGGTTTGATCACGCGCCAACAATACTGCGATGGCATGTCTTCAGAAACTAGCAAATGATGATTATATACGTTTTATTACCATGATCCGAAAAATCAAAAGAACTACGAACTTGATAAATAAACCAAACACTGGACAAACAGTGGAAGCACTTGCAAAGTTAAGTACGTGTTGTTATTATGGTTTGATAGAGAAGCGCGCCGACAATAATAAATCAGCTGACTATATCCAATGATGCCAGTTGTTGAAAAAAACCGTACCTTAGAACATTAAAAAAGTACCTTCAAAAATGAACTTTCACTGAATTTAGCAATGTCAGAAGCCAAAATATTCACTTTACAGCTCGTTTACATTCCATATGTCAAATTTTGAGTCCATCTGTCGTTTTGTTTATTTTCTTCAGATAAGGGAAACTCGATAAGTGTCTGAAAAACGAAGGAAGTCCGGTAGCGTTTTATAATCTTTAAAACGTCATATCTCCGTTAATAATAAGTTTTGAAACATCAGACACCAAAAGATATGGCCTTTGAATCTTGAAGAGTCATCATGCCAAATTTCAACATGATCCTTCGAGTAGTTTTTTTGCTACGGGGTGATAAAAGTTAAAAAGCAGCGAAAATCGGCAATTAACGGAGGAAGTCCGGTGGCGTTTTATAATCTTTAAAACGTCATATCTCCGTTAATAATAAGTTTTGAAACATCAGACACCAAAAGGTATGGCCTTTGAATCGTGAGGAATCATCATGCCAAATTTAAACATGATCCTTTGAGTAGTTTTTTTGCTACGGGGTGATAAAAGTTAAAAAGCAGCGAAAATCGGCAATTCCTAATATTTTCTGTAATGTATACCGTCGGCCGACGGTTATCGGGTTATCGCCCCGCGTGTGTGTGGTTGCTGCAGAGTCGTTTGAAGGCGTTTTCCGGTCTTACTCTGGGAGGTTTTATTTGGTTGTTCTCCTTATATTTATATTTTTAGCTTGGCGGGGAGATCTGCCGATCTCCGTGATAGATGAACTGAAGGAAAGTTGGTGAGGTAGTGTAGTAGGTGAAGTAGTAGTGACTAAAAACACTATTATCGAAAGAATGACTGTAATTTATTTTTCAAGTTTTTCCATCAGAGATAACCAGAATAGCATGGTCATTGATCTTTTAAAAACCACCGTTTTTACTAAGTTAAACTCTTTCTTTAGCTTGTAGTGTAAAATAAATATAAAAAAATCCCCCCAAACATATTTCCTCTAAGTTTTTGGAAGTGGCGTTGTATTGATTCGAAGTCCCCAAAATTTTAAAAAAAGCTTGAAAAAGTATCCTGTAAAACCGCATACCAAGATACTCTTCCTTTTTCAAGTGGGGAGGCGGCATTTGGTATTCGCAGAACGTTAAACAAGTAGGCACGGCAGCAACTGAGGATGCAAATATTTCTACGCGTCGGATGCGTTTTTACATATCCGTCCAAATGAAGGTCAAAGCTTGTTGCTCGCTTCAAACTTTGTTCTCCAGGTTGGATCAATGTTTGCTTTCATTCGAAGGGGTAGGCATAATCAGCACCCATTCGTCAAAATAGACGCATATCCACTAAAAATGAAGGAGAAACATGCTCTCTTGTTCTTTTGAAACCACGTTTCAAGGGGCAGAGCTTTGCTCTCACTGATTCAACTAGTGGGTCGTTTATTTAAATTGATAGACAATGCTATAGACAAAGAAGACTATAGGGATATGAAGGGACCCTATTAGTTGAAGCGAGTGGTTGCAATGGCGAAAGGAAATAGGTAATAGACTAACTAACCCACGAGAGACCGAATAGTTAGTCTATCATTTTCTCCCTTACTCCATAGGAACCACTCATTTCAACCAAGAGGATCGCTCCGTACTCTCTATGTCTCCTTTTCTATCGCTTTGTCTATCAATTTCAAAAATCAGCCCGTAGATAGTTATACTTTTTTCATCTCCTCTGACTTCCATTGGTTGATTTCCCTAAATACATAGTGCGCTTTAATACTGTTCTTACTAGCGTGACTAAAAGCGAACTCTAAACTGTCATCTCCGTTAAAACAAATCTCAACCACTAGAAACATCAGCGACTCCTTATTATGAGTATACTCTTCGGGATCAACGGTTTTTATGAACTCCACCCAGCTTTTTGTTCTATTGTTTTTATCAAAATCCTCCCTTGTACAGTTACTAAGCACAAACTCAAGCAAGACATCGTTTCGCGCATGATCCGCCGAACGCCGCGTCTCAGCGAAAAGGTCCACTAGCCCGCTGTCCGGATCACCGCACCTAAGTTCCAAAAGCAGATAATCCCGCACTCTGGTGGCCAGAAACGTGAACAGTGGTGAGCGTAGATCCTCCCGGGAGGTTGGAGGGTGTGGGCACTCCTTGAACACCATCTCCACGCTGTCGGCGAACGCTTCGAAAGACGAGACCCTCCAGTCTAAATTCATGAGCGTCTCGACGAAGTCTTTGGCGGTGGCGTTGGTGGTGTGGAGGTGGCCCAGCCAAAACCTCTCCAGCTGAGAGCCCAAAGAATAGTAAGCTGCCAAGTCCGGCACTTCCAGCTTGAACTCCGACCCGATTTGTTCGGAAACCGCGAAAGTTACGTAACCCAGTTCGAACAAGTAGTAGAATAGGCAGTTCCGATCAGGTTTGTCCAACTCCAGCGCAGACTTAGAGGCACTGTGCTTGAAAATTTTCCCCAAGGTAGCCGCACACCTCTCGTGATCGGTTTCTTTTGGGGCAGTGATATGAAACGATGAAGGCTCACGCCAAGTTCTAACCGCAAGCTCTAATTTATCCCTGACCTCTTTGTCGTCAAGAACTTGCGTTAGGAACTCCACTGAGTCAAGAAGACGGGAATGGTTACGACCCTCTAGGAGTTTGGTGATAGTTTTTGGATCGTATAAAGTGTAGGTTGAGTTCACCGTTGTGAAACCTTTGTAAAAATCTTTAAGCACGAACAGCCGGACCAGAACTGTAGCATTCAAGGTCAATCCACTTAATTCAGTGTTTGCTACACTGAAAAAGTTAGTGATGCCTGAGTGAAGGGTAAATTGGTAGTGTATGACGCTGGGTGGCGTGTACATGCCGGCCAAACGCGTCTTGCCCGTCAGAAACGCTCTATTGACTGTTTTTTTGTCCGAAAAAAGGTCGTTTACAAAATTTTTGATTATTTTTAGATTATGCTCCTCACCTGCTGACCCATTTTTAAGTAACTTTATGGCCGGTTCATCAAAATCATCGACCAATAGGATACAAGGCTTTTTGAAGTGTTTGCTCAACAGTTTGGCCAGAGTACCACCACTGCTTTCGATAAGTTGCTCCCCACTCACCTCACCACTGGAAAATTTTCCGAATAACACCTTTTCCTCAGACGTCAGCTTTTCTGAAATGTTTAAGTAAGGGTGAGTTTTGAACGCATCGATCATAAGTAGTTTCAGGCCGTCAATGCGGTCCAGTTGGAGTTCTTTAAAAGACAGGTAGATGACAGGTTGACTCCCGAAATTCGATTCAAAGAATTTGTCTTCGTCCACCAGCGTTTGATTGGTTCTTGCTACGGTGAGGTTTTTCACCCTCTGGAAACTTTTATAGTTTTCTGTCTCTTCTTTCTTTAGGATGGTTCCATTTTCAGAAATGTTAATGTCGTAGAAGGTTTTAAGCATGAGTAAGTTGGTGGTTTTACCAAAACTGAGAGGAGCAGTAAAATAAATCGGATGATCGAACGTGTTGTGGAAATACTCAATGAGGCCCGTTTTGTCCACGTAGAACGAGGAATTGATAGCCGCCAGGAATGGATTTGTATCCTTCATTTCAGCCTGGAAGGAAATTTAAAAAATAGCTGAAATTTGGTCGATCAAGTAAAAAAATCCAACATATAGTTTTCTATTTTTAACAAAAAAATTTTGTCAAAACAAGATTACCTTTGAAGATTACCAAAAATGTACGTGTCGAAATGAGAGTTAACTCTTTTGGATATAGCCACTACCTACTTAGCTGTAAGATAGAAACTTACAGTTAAATAACTTTCAGTTTAATGGAACTAAATAGTCCTATTTGGAAAGTTGAAGTCCTAGGTCCTTCTTTCTTCCAAGTTCTTTCTTTAATAATGAACGATTTTTCTCTTGAAAATACATTTACGCTTTGGCATTTTCTGAAGATGTTTAAATACAATCAGGACTGTAATTTTTCTATGGTCCTCTTTTCTGTCTTCCCAAAAAGTTGTTTTTTATATTTTTTAATATGCATATCAGTTTCATCATTTTAAGATTGCACGCGTCAGTAGAAAGCAAAGTCAGTTACTTCCCTTTTGCACCAGAAAGTTAGAAAGGAAATACACTGTTTTTGTGTAATTTGTGCTTCTGTAAATGTAATTTTGGATTTATTAACACAAATCCCCCCTTCCATTTCCACCCCGTTCCTCTAGTCAAATTGTACGGAAAAATAACCTTACCTTTTTTATGATACAGAAAATCAGCCATGCGATGCCTAATGTCGTAAGCATGATAGCTGATGAAAGCAATGCTGTTTAAACTAGGAATCGTTCATTCATATATTTTGTTCTTTTTTTCTCACAAAATGCTTTCCTTTATCTGCACAAAAAGTTACCCATCACATTTGATAAAGAAAGGAGATTATCAGATGGTACAATTTATTTGTAGAACGAATGGGATAAAATAGTTGGTAAGTTTAGAGTGAGCTTCATTGATTTGATTTTTCGTCAGTCGGTTTGTATATCTTCCTTACAAACGCATCGATTGGCAGTAGTTTGGTTCTTGTTTGCAGTTCAGAATTCGGAAGCACTATTTGATGGCGGGGATTTAAAGGAACCTAAACACTAATGCAATTTACTTGCATAGAACTTTTTCGGCATGAACACAGAAGTCAGAATGCAACAAATCTCTCACGAACTTTTCCCTTCGACGACTCGAACATTTTGTTGTTGTTTCGTGTTACATTTTCATCAGCCTCAACATTAATTTTCATTGAATTCAGTAATCACGCAGGTTAAATTAATTTACGCAAATGCAGTTTTGATTCGAAATGAGTTTTAATTCAAGTTCTTTTGCTTTTTCAGTGAAATTGAAAACACGTAATGTTGAACAGCAAACTGAATGAAGCACAACCGATTTTCGCGTGTTTAACGGGTGTTGAAAGCAAACTGCTTTAAGCCGCCGAGACAAAAATATGCTCACAAATCGAATCATCCTATATCTCCTCTAAAAATCGTAATCTAATCAGTGGAGCATTTCATTTTTAGAGCACACCGCCTTTTTTCATGTGTAACTAGAAACCAATCAATTTTGTCAGATGGTACAAAAATGTGTCTGTTACTACGTAAGCGTCGCTTTCAAGGATGCAGTTCTCTGAGTAGCCCTTAAACATGTTAAATCGCTCGAGAATCCGTTGATTACGTCAGGAAAATCCAAAAACCACTCTTTCATGATCAATTTGTGCAGCTTAATCTGCCCGCATTTGCAAATTTCCCACGTCCGCAGGCACTATTTTCTGGAGAACTGGCACCAGTGGCACCTGTACTGTGATGAAGCACCAACAACGTGCATCGAATTGTTGAGTTTGAAAACGACCCAACTTTAAGGGACTAAATTTTGTGACGGACAAATAATAAGTGCGTTACTGGCGAAGTAGTACTGTCCGAAGTCCGACTGAAACTATCTGAACAAGATTGCAAATTTTCGGCTATCCAAATTATAAATGCTCTACCTTGGAACATTAAACAAAAACTCCGCGACGGTGATATACAGACATTTTTCAATTTACTTCGAGATCTACTTTTAAGGAAGGCATTTTATAATTTGAACGAATTTCTAAATTCAGCTGTTTGTGTAACGTTCTATTAAACACCACCAAATGTAACAGTTGTAATTTATATTTTTAATTATTGTTTAGTATTTTTTGACCTGTGCCATAGCCCTAATAATGGGGCTCACATGTACGAAAGTTATAATAAATAAATAAATAGTAAAGATAGGAAGAATCCATTTTAAACTTCAGGAAGTAGTTTGTTTAGAAAAATTAGTCAAGAATCACGAATGAAACATTTAAAATTCCAGAGTTGAGTTGTTATCGAAATCAACGATTTTAAGGAGTAAGGATGCGGTGAAAAATGAATAAAATTGTTTATGTTTGTTTTGTTAATGTCTTTCATTTCAACCAAAATTTTAGTCAAAGTTATACAAACTTGTGGACAACATCACACAACATTACGCACGCGGAAAGGTCTGTATCAGAGAATGCAAGTACTCCCACTCGCAGGATGTGTTTTTCATTACCGCTCAAAGAAAGGAAAATCAGTAATCGCAGTTAATCGCTTTTAAGCTCGGTTTGCGGGACAGAGCCTTGTTTGCCGTCATTTCGACACGTAGGCTAAAATAGCTCCCACGCGTCGAAACAGTTGCCTAGTTGTTGGAAATCAAGAGAATCACACTTTATTGCTCAATTTGAACCATGTTCTATGGGTAGGAGCATTGTTCGCCTTTATTCTGATCGAATAGGCAAAAACATATCCTGCGTGTTAAAATAATTGCATCTTCCGATATTTACGAATGGGCTGGCGTTTTCGCTCTAATGAAGGACCTAAAAGATAGGCCTCCTCATCTTGCTTACATAGACTGCTCAGTTGGTACACGAAAGAAAAGGGTCTGATTATTTTGATTCAGACAACCCAAATTGATGTTGTACGCATAATTATTGGCACTAAGTATACAGCAAAAGTATGTACTATGTAAGTTGGAATTAAACCTATTGGAGTATCAGAATAGTTAGAAGTACAATTCCAATGATGTTGCGCATCACCAATTTGGGTCATCTGAGTCAAAATCATCAAATCCTTATCTTGAGCGTCCACTAAGATAGTATAATTATGGATTCTGAATTCCTGTCGGTTTTATAACTGTTTGACAAGATGAAATTGTCAGAAATCATGATTCTCTCTTAAGAACTTAAGAGCGGCATTCTCTATGTTTTTTAAAGGGTTTTTACTTAAATCTGCATACTCGGCATTTTGACAGCTCCTGTTCGAGCCCTCACAGAATTTGCAGCATTTTATCATCGTTTTTGTGTTGGTCTTTTAAAAATCATTTCATGTGTAACTTTTCTTTGATTTCCACGTCTTGATTTTCTTAAATGTCTTGTACGCGTTATCACGCTTCTGACTGTGATAGACGAACGTGAATTCAAACTCGTCTTTTTCGCTTAGACATATGCCAATGATGAGACACCTCAGCTGTTCCTGATCTTTTTTGACCGGGCTAAATTGCTCCCAATAAGGCTTCGTCTTAACAAACTTGGCAAACTTTTCTTTATTACAATTATTATACATGAACTCCAAAGCGATCCTCTTGACCGAGTGATCCTTCCGCTTTGTAACAGCCTGAAGGTCCGTGTACCCTTCACTCGAGTTCTCGCTACAGTTGAGCTGCAAAGTAGGGTACTTATGCATTCTGGTGGCCAAAAATGTAAGAAGCGGCGACCGCAAATCAGCCTCGGAGATTGGACGATGAGGAGACTCTTTGAAGACCATCGCAACTTTGTTTGCAAACGTGTCCAGCGTAGAGTTCTTGTAAGTTAGACTCATGAACGCCTCAACGTAGTCAGATGCGATGACCTTAGTGGTGTGCAGATGGTTAAGCCAATACCTCTCTAGTAGAGCACCTAAAGAATCGTGAGCTGCCACGTCGGGTAGGTCCAGTGTCAGGTTGGAACCCTTCATGGTGGAAACTCTGAAGTAACCTAGTTCAAAGAGGTAGTAGAACAAGCAGTTCCAATCGGCCTCACACATCTCGAGTTCAGGATCGGACCCACCAAGCTGGAGGATTCGCCTCAAGGTAACGACACACTTCTCATGGTTGGTTTCTTTCGGTGCAGTGATCGAAAATGAATCCAAACGAACTGCAAGTTCTATTTTATCTCTGACCTCTTTAAAATGAAGGACCTGCCTTAGAAACTCAACAGAATCAAGAATGCGAGTATGGTTACGACCTTCCAAAAACTCTGTCACGGTCACTGGGTCAAATATGCAATAGGTGGTGTTAGGCACCGTGAAGCCTTTGTAAAATGCATTCAGCTGAAACAGAACCCAGATGTTCCTGGTCAGACCCCGCACCTCAGGTCCTTTGACACCGAAGAATTTGGTCAAACCAGCGTGGAGGCCGAACTGATAGTGTTTCACGCCGGGTGGTGTGTAGATTTCGGCCAAGCGCGTTTTCCCAGTCAGAAAGATTCTGTTAACGGCCTTTTCGTCCGAAAATAGATCGTTTATAAAATTTGTCCATCTCTTCATCACGTAGGCCTCATCTGCTGAACCATTCGTGAATAGTTTGATTACTGGTGCGTCAAAATCATCGATCAGTAAGAGACACGGTTTCCCGAAGTGTTTGCTCAACAGTTTGGCCAGGGTTCCACCGCTGTTTTCGATGTGTTTATCGCCCCGCACCACAGCATTGTAAAATTTGCCGAATAGCGTTTTCTCTTCTGGCGTTAGTTTTTCTGAAACTTTTAGGTAAGGGTGAGTTTTGAACGCCTGGATCATAAGTTGTTTTAGACTGTCTATGAAGACCTCAAAAGGGTCGAGTAGGATGCTTTTAAAGGAAAGATGGATGACGGGTAAGCTTCCAAAATTTGAGTTAAAAAATTTTTCATCGTCAATCAGTGTTAGAGCGGCTCTTGCTGAAGTAATGTTCCTCACTCTTTGGAAAATTTTATAGTTTTCTGTCTCTTCCTTTTTCAAGATGGTTCCGTTTTCGGAAGTGTTTATCTCGTAGAAGGCTTTGAGCATGAGTAAGTTGGTCGTTTTTCCAAAACCGGAGGGAGCTGTGAAAAAAATCGGAGAGACGAACGCGTCGTTGAAATACTCGATGAAACCCGTCTTGTCCACATAGTGCGGCGATTTGATGGCTGCCAAGAATGGATTTTTTTCTTTCACTTGAGCCTAAAATGAAATAAAAATCATATGTAACTTAATTGATCAAGCGAGAAAAACAAAACAGAACAAAAATGCAACGTCCTTGAAATCTCCGTAGATTTGTGAAAATACGTTTTTTCAAGTAAAATTAATCATTCGATCTACTCTTGATTCGCGATTTTCGCTGATTGCTTTGTAATGTTTGAATGCCACTTAGGATTTTTTTGAACTTCTGCCCCCCTCTCGTATACCTTCCCGTTCTCAGGTGGCAAAAACATGTGTCTCATCTAGACATACGAAAGAAAATCGATGAATTTCTAATCGGCGCAAAGTGTCTGTATTTCTACGTCGCACTGAAACAAAAGTTACGGGCTATATAGACATACCGATATAAAGCTGAGAGGCCAAAAGTCCGGGTGCTGGGCCCGGAACTTTTGGCCTCTGAGCCTGGAACGCGGACGGTATGTCTATATAGCCCGTAAGTACGACTTCCGCGGCGGGAGATTTTTTTTCAGTGCGGAGTCCCATGGAGCCAGAAATTGACATTGATCAAAAAGTCAAAGTATCAGAGAAAATGACACTTACCGCTTTTATGACAGTGAAACTAAGGAGAGTCAGCCATGCAGTGACCAATTTATTTATCATGGCAGCTGGTCTATGTAAGCCCTGGTCTTTTAAATTTAAATTGTAATCGATGGAAAATCCATGTCGAGCCACCGTTCTTTAGAACTCTGGTCCCTATACCCTCAGCTACGTAGCGCCAGATATAACTGAAATATATGTAAATCAAATAAAGGTTTAAATTAAAAGACATTGCATCCTCATACTGTCCTGTTAAGGAAAAACGCCGTATGAACCTCTAGACGGTCACAAATTTCCTTTAATTAAATACGGATATCAAGGAAATATGTGAATATTTTCCTTTCAAATTTTCAGAGAGTTTCATTCGTAGTCACATCTAAAACATCTGAAAATTTCAAATATCCATCTCCTCAAAAATAAACATTTTTTAAGGAGGCAACTCTCGAATGTTCATTCAGCGTTTTTACTTGGCAAGGCAGTATATACTGTTTGTCACAACAGATGTTTTGCTCGCGATTGATTTATACAGTTTTGGTTAATACATGTCATGCAAATTAACGTAATAGGAGCACGGTTTATAGAAACGAACTCAGGTTGTTTACTGACGTCATTCTTGACAAAAAATCGTTCCAAAAACTTCAATTAAATCAGTTTGTACAATTATTTCTCTCTAATCAACAAACCTGTCATTTAGTTCGCATTCTGACTGACTAAAAATGCTCGGTGCTTAGTTTATCACCTGGGATCGATTTTAGTCAGATTTTTTATTTTATTTTAAATCAATATTAAATAAATAAGACTAAAAGATTTCGTACCTGATCATTAGTGACAAAGAATATTATCCTTGAACGCGATTTGTGACCGATTTATGTTAGTTTCTATGCACATCGTCGCATCAATAGTTCGGGGAGACCAATCAACTTGGGCTTACAACTAAAGGCACGCTTGGCTGAAACATTACACGTTTCTTTCAAAAATCTATATCTAATCGGCAATGGGTTTCATTCATCGTGGCACTGCTCTTATGAACTAAAAAAAAACTGATAATTAGACAGTTTTGTCAGATGGTCTAAAAATGTGTCATTTCCACGTGACAATAATTCTCCGTCGCATTGTTAAGCAAGAAGTTTAAACTTGGTTTGAACTGTTAACGTCAAACTATCATAATATCAGTTCGATTTGACAACTTTGGGTGGTATTTTCGCGCCAAAATTATCATAAAACACTCCCGCATGAAATTGTCCCATTGGTTGAATTTTTAGTTCGTGGCCGTCCATACAATACTTCAAGGATTTTTTCCCCCCGAGTTTTTGACCCCTCTTTCTTGCTGCACGTGACCCTACCTCCACTTTCCGCACTCGAAATGAGGCATTCGTAAATGTGCTTTAGACCCCGACCCTGACACCCCCCACTTTTAAATGTCTCATTTTCTTATTAGACGGCTTCTTTTTCGGCATTGAGGTCTCTTTTCTCATTGACAGTTACCTTTGAGAAACAGAAAATTGCACCAATTTACAATTTCTTGTCTGCGTATCGGAAAAATTGAGATCAGTGGTATACACTAGGAAGCTGATCATGGACACCAGGGAGCAAAGCCCTCAAATGTCCGAATGAATTGCGGGAGGAAATCCTCTCAATGATATATTTGGCGCGAGAAAAAGAAGAAAAATACCCGACGCAGTCTGCACCCAACACGTTGGCCCACAAAAGAGGCGCGATCCAGTCGTCAGAAAACGCGAAAAAGCTGGCCCATAAAACATTTCTCCAACAGGACACCTAAAACACATCAGGGCTACAAGTTCGGTGCCCAAGCTGTTGCCGCAATGTGTAACTTTGATGCAGAATAATTCAATTCGCAGAACTGCTTCAGTTCGATCAAGCGTAAACTTGACATCGATGGATGTGTATGGAGTCAGTATGCTAATTATTACGGGGAGAACATAAACAATACATGGAGGAATGTCGAGCAGTTAGCGACTGGGGTTTTGTAATTAGCTATTGGCGGGGTTGTCACTTTTTGGAAGATATTCAGTGGGAAGAAATTTTCTCGCTGAAAACTGAGTTTTTTCTAATTTGGTTCTCATGCGACCGTGTAGTAAACGAATTAATCAGTTTTAGATATGAGTTCGTGAAGTATTGAAAGTAATTTGGAAGACATTGAGGTGAATTCAAGCATGTCTTAAATCGGAATTGCTTCGATTTTCTCATGAATTTTTAAATTTTCAAACAGAACAGAGCCGCTGAAAGTAGATATTTGTCCGAAGAATGCACTTTAACATTTTAAGGTCATATGTAATATCCAATAATACGGGTGAAAAGCGGCAGATAAAAACTTTACTCTTCGATTCGAGGTATTGATTTGTAGAGAGTAAAACCCCCTAAACGTACTTGAATGAATATGAAATGAAAGAATTCCGATAAATAATGATAAAAATGTTTTGATTTATTTGTAGAGGAGTAAAAGCTCCGCTCCGCATATTATGGGTGAAAATCTTCCTGCCAATCAAATGCAGCGATTTTCTCCAGGGTGAAAAACGTCATAAAACATTTCATCCAGATTTGATCAATCCGTTTTCATTCAAATAATAATCAACAATTCTCAAATATTTGAAACATGTTGGTGTGAATCGAACGCCGCGCCGGTTTGACCGCAACGAATGCTGTCGGTGTTCCATTAATACCGACGGACATGCTTTAGACCTTAAAGGTTGTAACTGCTCATTCATCTCATTGACATTTTGCCCACTTTTGCGATGCAAAGTACTCTAATAAATATTTTCTTCTCTGATTGCAGGTCAAATTTTCAAAGATAAATACCTGGACCAGTTTGATGCGTACCTGAACGAATACGGACAAATACGAAGGTATGTCTGCCATCCCATAATTCTACTCATTCGGCGGCAGTGACATGTTCCTAAATTGTGCTCGGTGTTGCACTGTACTGCTGTCTCGTCACCCTAAGTGATTGACGTTCAATTATGAATGATCAGCTCATCAAATGCATGACACTAAATAAAATAAAAACAAAATGGAAAAGGATCATAAATCCACAAATTCTCCCTGCAGTATCACTCATACGTACATTCTCGATATTTTGCCGTCCTCCAGCAAATAAGTTTCTAGCTTTCAACATACATTTTTTTCAATTTTCCTTCAATACTCGGTCATTTCATTGTGATCGAAAGTAAGTACGTTTGCTGATTTATTGAAACCTAGGTAAACTTACTCGAAAAGTTGGTTATTTAACCGACTTTTTTCTCCCAGTATTTTTACCAGGACGGCAGCCCCTTTAAAACATGCTCTGTATGTTGGTATCTTTTACCGAAGGTTTTGAGTTGGACCAGTTACTCCAGGCGTGAGTAGGGTCGTGAACATTAGGTATACATGAAACATTTCGTAACACCGTTACTCATTCTTACGTACATCATCCCTCTTCATTTCAAGTAAAATTGGAAAAAAAACCCGATATTTTTCAGATAAATGTGAGTGCCAACTTGTCAAGTATACAAAAATTTTACTTTCACCACAACGTTTTATTTCTCAACTTTTCCCCACATAATAATTTCAGAAAAACAAAGACCATACAAGTGATCATCATTTACAACTGGACCGCGTTTAGCAGAAAGGAACTAAGCCATATCATCTATTTCCAAAAATTTATTTTTTACAAGCGGACGTTCGTGTAAATTCCTTTGAAAATTTTAAGGAATTTGCGTGCGTCATACTATGCAGAAAATTTACCGCAAGTCGCACAAAACTCCGCACAACCGTTTTCATGTAAAAAATTAAATTGCCCAATTGAATCATGCAATTGTTGATGTGGCTTGGTTCCCTTCTGTTTGACGCTGTCCAACTATGGTCTTAGTACCGCCAAGATCTTCTCTCAGAAGATTGGATGGTACCGATAATCAAAAAATAAACCAGTAAATGATAATTATTTTGTAGCTTATAAGTCCATTCTCTCAGCGTCTCATAGTTTTGATATGAAATTTCGGAGAGGGAGTAAGCACAGAATTAAATCATTTGTACTGAGTTCAGCAGAAATGATGTAGTTTTTTCAGAAATTTGTTCTCAGAAACGCCACATCTCCTATTCATTCCAACCGCCTAAACGTGTTTTTACAAATGTACCCATGTTCTGAGAGCTTTCTTCAAAAAATTTAGTCCAGTCGTCCAACTTCTACCAGTCATTTGCAGCAGAGATACGAGGTCACTCAAAATATGTTTCAGGTTTGTGCAGGGAATGTCGCCGATGTGCGATGGGTTCTATCTACCGGATTGTTTTTTAATTGTTATCCTTACACTCCTTTAATGACTAATTAAATCGGTTTTTGTCAGATGGGTGTAAGTCCTACAATTCATGAGCCTCCGCGTACTGCGTGATCAACAAAAGCCAGGGCTCATGAGGTTTTGGATTTACGCCTATCTAACAGGAGCCGATTCAATTATGAAACGGCATCACGTCACCAAAAATAAAATCTGGTAAAATTACACGATAATTGTTCCGGAGACAGGTATATTTAACCGTCAAAATTTACCGCAAATGGAGTCACTAACATTCCTTTTCGTGTTTGTTCCCAACAGAGTGCTTCAAGAAAAATATCTGAGCGACGATGAATTTCTCGAGTACCACAAATTCCGTCAAGGCGCCACCTTGCTGAGGCTTGAGGACATCCTTCAATTACCGGTAACTTCATCTCAACTTTTTCTCTTCTCAATATTGTCGGAATTTTTCATCAAAATTCTAGGATTGCATCTAATCCAGTTTGGTTGTTTTCTATCGTTGATATCTATTCGTGAAGTGCGAAGAAAATCCTTCCCCTCAATTTGTTCCGATATTTTCAGCAAAATGTTTCACGTTAATGTCGTTTTCTCCCCCATCTCCCCCCAAGAAATGATGTATTGAATTGGACCAGAATTTTCTTAACTAATCAGTATCCAAGGCTATCGAATAATCTCTCATCAGAACATGTAAAACTAATTCGGTTATAACATTTCGAGCATGACATTGAAAGAATTCAAAAAGGACGAGGTTTTCTGTTGCAATTCCTTATACTTCTCTGGGAATGAAAAACGCATCGCCAAAACAAGTTCACGGTGTTTTTTTTTTTTTTTCAATTTTTTGTAATTATATCTTATTTGGATATGCGGTTTTAAAATTTTCAAAGTATCTCCTTCATCAAAAGGAAAAATGTTCAGCATTATTACTGTTCGGAATTTTCTATGATTCTCCTTCAAAACGTTTGCTCGCCACTATAATATCTGGAAATTATAACTATTAGGAGGAATTAATACTGTTGACTTTCCTCTAGAACAGTAATTCGCATGAAAAGAAATTATCAAGTATTGAAAAGTAACAAGTCGCTTTTTAGTTTAGTTATTAGTTATATCTAGCTCATCAGCTTAATATTTTCACGCCGAATTTTTTTTTTCTTTTTGAAGGAATTTTATTTAAATACATATAGCGTAACTACTACAAGTATCTCCCTGTATCTATCTACATGGTTTAAAACTAAAACTAAACAAATTGCATTAATTTTACAGGGTAACGTTAGATAATACGATGATTATCTAAAAAAGCAGGAATTGTAAAATTCTCTGCCTTCTTTTTTAGAGAAATTAACCGAAAAATTTAAACCTTCACCAAATATATAGTATTCCAAACGTAAACTCCAAGATCATTTTCGACATCGAATGTCATGGAAAAAGAAAACTTCATGACTTTCTTTCACCGTTATAAATCAACTTGACTTAGTTTTTCCTCTTTATATTCCGTCCCAAATCACGATACGTCAAATGCAGATGAGTCCACCCGAACACCGGCCATAATTTTCGAGACGCGCAAGGCAATTACATCGTCACCGCCGACCATCGTCCAAATCCACGAAGCATTATTTAATTATTATCATCATTACCAAAAGGGTATTACCATAACCTGAAATCGCGAAGCTGCAGCTGCCGTGCGGTTCGAAACCGCGCAACTGCAATGTAATTCCTACGCAGTAACGCGTTTTTTGCTCGGCTCCTCTGTAATCGGGCGCGTTTAAGACGGGAGTTTTGGGATGCGCCGGCCACAATTGGGCGTATTTCTGTCAAACGGAACTAACAATAAGTGCATTGTGATGTGAGCCTTGTTATGCGTGTATTCTTATGGGTATCAGGGCTCATGTCATAATGCACATAGTTCCGTTTGGCAGAAATGCGTCCAATTGAGCCATTACCTCACACTCGCACTCGCGGTCTCACATATGATTAACCTTGGCATCGTACGCTGCCGTGATAAGGAAGAACGCCGTATGAACATTCGAGAGTTGCCAAATTTCCTTCGATAAATTGTTTATTTTGGAGTAAAGATATGTATATTTTTCCCTGAAATTTCCGGGGACTTCAGGTGAAATTGCGAACAAAACTGTCTGAAAAATTGGAAGGGAAATGTTCGGAAGTTAACCAGGAAATTCTTGTTTTTTCAAATGAAATTCGGCAACGCCTGAAGGTTCATACGGCTTTCTTCCTTAGCACGGCAGTACGCAACTCGGGATCCCGGCGAAATTGCTCCCGAGAGTTTGTTCTTTTACTCGAAGAAAGAACCTCGTAAAACCTCTCAGACGTTGCCGAATTTCCTCCGATGAAATTAGCATTTCCAAGGTAACTTGTTGATATTTTTCCTCCGATTTTTCAGAATATTTTCACAGCAATGTCTTTTAAATTATCTGAAAATTCAAAGGGAAATTATTCACTAATTTCCTTAAAAATGAGTATTTTTGTCGAGGAAATTTGGCAACGTCGGCTTGTTTTTACGGAGTTTTTCCGTAGCACGGCAGCGTTCGCATGCGTCCGGCTGGAAGTTCTTTCGTGCGGTATTCGGGCTCAGACGAGGCGAATACCTCGACCACAGACAGACACGCAGGTTGCTCGCCGGCCCATGTGAAGCCTCAGGAATCGGGAATTTTCTCGGGATTGCCAACTTTAAATTTCGGACGCAAGTTTCAGTCAAAAGTATGATGAATTGTACCTATAGTTGGAAAAGAGGTGGAGCCGATTTGGTATCCTCTCTTATGTTCACCAGGCCATCAATGGACAGAAAATTTCTATTAATCAAAGTTCAATGTCTTGTATAGATCGAATTCGTTTCGTCAAACCAAATGTTTGATAACTGGTCATCTGATTTATGTAATCGAGTCTCTTCCCTTATCGGTTCAGTCCGAAGATTCGATCACCTCGACCGGAAGTACAACCTTACAAAATCGATCGTTTGATTGGTTTACAACCCCAAACATTGGCTACTTTTCGGAAAATTCAACTGTAAACAGGCATATTTGGGGTGCTACTTTGAATCGCCTTCACTTAATAGAAATCTTGAGTATCTTCAGGTCAACATGATTTCAACACCATTTCCTCGAATTTTGATTTTTTTGAGAGTCCTCGACGAGCAATGTTCAGAGTGCCCTAACTAGATCATTTTAATTCTGCTAGAAAAGAAATCTCAAAGTGGAGTCCGGAGTGCATTTCACTCCGAAGTCCGTACTTTCCCCCAAAAACCGAAATAAGAAATGATCCGCTCCGTTAGAGCGTATCGCTAGCAGAGTCTGCTCTGAAAAACGGAACCCTATTCGCGAAAAGAATATATTTCGCTCCCCTACCCTGGTTGTTCGGGAGCGAAACAGGCTCCGGAGTGAAGTGCACTCTGAATTTCACTCCAAGATTTTTAACAGAGTATGCGTTTTTCCGAAGACCTAGGCTCATGTGAATTGCACATTCTGTATGCATTACAAGTGCAATAACACTGGAAAAAAAAACACATTAGATCTAGAGTTCAGACTCTTAAAAACATCGACAAGAAAAAATACTCTTGATTCAATCAGATTTAAGCTTAAATCATGAACCAAGCCTCTTAATTTGAGCGGATTTCCTTTTGATTTAAGCTTAAATCTGATTAAATCAAGAGTCCTTTTTTTTTGTCAATGTTTTCAAGAGTCTGGACTCTAGATCCAATGTGTTTTTTTTTTTTTTTCCAGTGAATGATACAATTTTCAAGATTTTCACTTGAGGTTCTTTTTCGCAGATGCATGACATCTCAATTCGATCTATTTCGTCCCAAAATCGGGAGCTTTAAAGTATTGCAGCTAAATTTAAGCAGGGTGCCCCGATTCCTAGAAAACTATGCCGGCAACAGCGGAGGGCACTAGGGAGGCATCCGGAGGCACAATTAGCATACCACCGTCGCATTGCATAAGAGGCCTCTAACTCGGACCCCTGCCCCCTTCCCTGTCCCGGCGGAGCTATCACTGGGCCAAGAGTGATATAATAACCTGTTCGCAAACGCGCCCCTCGCGACTTTACCACGGAGAACCAAAGTGCGGTAGCCGGGTCCAGCTCCATTTTGAGTATCCGAGAAAGTGATCGGTTACCGCGGTAAGTGATCGGTGACCGGGCTTAAGTGACGCTATGCCGTTCCGAGAGTGGCTCCATGAGCTCAGCTGCACGGAGACAATGTGATCAGAGACCTCGCATTACTGACCTCCCTGAGGCGTAAAAGTTATACGGTCGTATTTTTATCAAACGGAACTATGTGCATTATGACGTGAGCCCTGTTATGCACATATTCTTATGGGTCTCAGGGCTCATGTCTTTATGCACATAGTTCTGTTCGGCAGAAATACATCCATACGATCGAAAGTCAACGCTCAGATTCGACTAAAGATGACTGATGGCCGGAGAGTCGAGCAATCGGTTTAGCAATCCTGAAATTAATAGCAAAAACGAAGAGTATCTGCGGGGTTATTCAAAAGTCACGCACCACTGGCCTCGAGGGAGGTGGCTATTTGATATTACTGAGTTACACCCCGCCCCCCTCCCCTTGAGGTGGTCAAAAACTGGAAAGTACCTAAAAAAAGTTCCCCTCTCAATATGAGGAAAAACGTCACAAACCGCAAATCGATACCTCAATTAGAACTGAAGTTATGTCCAGTGGTGCGTGACTTTTGTATAACCCTGTATATCGGGAGAGAACGGCCATGTTCAAATATGGAGCTCTCGGGGCCCAAAGAACAGCCAACCTTTGAAAACGAAAAACGTCACTCACTGGAAAAAAACACATTGGATCTAGAGTCCAGACTCTTAAAAACATCGACAAGGAAAAATGCTCTTGATTCAATCAGATTTAAGCTTAAATCAAGAACCAAGCCTCTTAATTTGAGCGGATGTCATTTTAATTTAAGCTTAAATCTGATTGAATCAAAAGTCCTTTTTCTTGTCAATGTTTTCAAGAGTATGGACTCTAGATCCAATGTGTTTTTTTTTTTTTTCGAGTGCTGCTAATTTTCAGATTTCAATATCAAACCAAAATGACCAAGAATGTTCTAAACGAACTTTTTTCCAAAAAAATGTGTACATTTATGCAAAAACCAATTGTAAGTCAAATACGCGATTTACCAACCGTTTTACCCTTCGTCAATTTTCTTAACCCATGAGATTCCCTAGAGACCAGGTGCCTCAGTATCTGCCTTAAACGGGGCGCAACGGAGTGATACGGAGTCAGTGAAATTTCAAAGTATACCGATGCTGTATATTTCATATTTACATCATGTTATTAAAAGCATGCATGTTATTAAAAGATGCAAATTTGGCCAAAATGTATAATTGAAAAACAATAACGGATCGCTCATAAATTGATTCAGGCATCTCCGT